AGAATACAATTTTTTAAACTTGTTTTTATCTATTTTACTCATTCATTTACTAATTCAGATTAAATAAAAGAGAGTATAGTGTTGAGTAGAGATAACTTTCCTTTGAAGAGTATCTGGGCTTGGCCTTAGAGTGAACTTCAGTGTAGAGCTGCTACTCCTCCAGTTGATGTGGTGGATGCTTCCTGGGTGCCTCCTATGTGAGGTGTTTCAGGCATGTCTACCCAGGAGGCGATCCCAGGATGGACCCAGGACATTCTGGCAGTATTTTTTCTATTGGCTGTCTTGGGAATGCCACAGAGCTAGAGGAGGTGGCTGGACCAGGAGTGGTGTAGGCATCTCTTCTTAAACCCAGAGCTGGATGGACGCGAGTAGCCACTTGAAATAAAATAAAATAAAATAAAACAGGGTCCAGATCCAAGGTGTACTTTACCTCTTGCCCAATGTCAGATTGGCTCCAGCTCCGCTGTGACCCTCATTTAATGAGTGGTTAAGAGAACTGACAGATAAATAATCAATAGCATGAAAGAAAATGAAAATGTTTACTTGTTTTCATCCCGAGGTTTGATAGCTCGCTCTTCTGTGCTGATGGTCACCGTGCTTTTCTGTTTTTCTTCCTCAGACATTCCCGCAGCCGCTCGTGGCTCCTCAGACACCATTTTGCCATCATGATGAGTCTCTACCTTCTGCTGCTTGTATTCATCGGTGCCTTAAACTCCAACACCTTTGTATCCTTTTGGAACAGACTATTCAGGTGAAACGACAACAGGACACATGGCATGGATGTTTCTAATCCACAGTGCCTTCCTGCCAAGATGTTGGCTGAAGGCATGAGAAGAAGAGTTTTATGCACCTTTCTACTGTTTTCTCTTATAGTTCTTTGCTTTGTTTGCAATATGTAATGTAATATAGTCATCATTACTGTAAGTGCAAGATAACATATCGTTTCAGATGGGAATCTTGTTATATATTGATTTTAATGAAATCTGTATGAAGATCTTTGTTGATTTTAAGACAATTGCAGTGTTGCTCCTTGAGTTTGAATGATTCAGTAAATAATCAGTTTTATAGTTAATCTCTGTTACTGTGTTGTTTCAGTCCTCCGAGGACACAACGATGGAGATCATCCTGTTTAAATAATCAGTGTGTTTTGATTTTCTCTCTCTGGTTTGATGTGCAGCGAACTCCTCGTTAACTGAGCCATTATTATCACTAATCAGTTTTTCTGGCCTTAATGATAAACTGAAATTCCACTTTTAAATTCTTAAGATTGTCATTGTCTGTATTTTGGAAATTAATAAATTGGGATGTTTTTAAATCTTTTGTTTTTAAGTGTAGATCAAATATAGTGGTTTTTATTTTAATGTATACATTCGGTTTTGGGGACTGCGGCGTTGTAGTATGGATCAGTAGATATTCAGGGTTGTCATCTAAAACCACTGATCTCTGAATCATCAAAACATAAAAAAAAAGGTACCTAACTCGTGGAATGACAGTTTCATGTCTACAGTAGCTAAAAACTTGGAATCTTTCGATATATGTTCTTAAAAATTTGAGGAAACTGGAGATGTGGATGACAAAAGAAGAAGTGGCAGACCTAAAAAACAAACAAACAAACCCTCTAATGCAGATGAACAGTATCTGAGAGTCATGTCCTTAAGAAATATGAAACAATTCCAGCAAAGACCAGACACAGGATCTGAGAGATGCAACTGGCCCTTCAGCTGATCCATCTACTGTTCATTGAAGCCTGATCAGAAATACTCTCAGTGGAAGGTTGGCTGTCATGAGGCCATTCTGAAGGAAGGAAAATGGGGACGTTAAATTACACAAGAGGTGGACTGAAAATCAGCGGCTTGGTTCAAATCATTGTCAGTATGTATGGAGGTCAGTAGAAAGGTACAACCGTGAGTTTCAGCTATCTGTAAGACACGGCAGCGGCTCTGTCACGGCTGCATTTCAGCCAGTGTTGTTGGAGGTCTTGTTAAAATTTCTAAATTGAAACCAGATTTGATCCACCATCTGGAGTGTGTCTCATTTCTTCAGCATGACATCGATCACAAACGCAGTGCCACTGCAGTAACAGCGCACCTGGATAGAAAAACGTACAATAAAGCACTATCAGTCATGGACTGAGCTAACTATAAAGGTGGCCCAGGAAATAATGACTTTTATTCCCTGTGTCTTGGTGCTGTACATCTATGTATTTTTGCACATTTTGATAAATGATTGCACTTATGTCCCATATTGATAACAAAATATAAAAAAGTGAGGGGTGGCTCAAAATCTTTCACAGTGCACATGCTTTTTTTTCCATACAGCATAAAAAAAGTGTTAAAGCATCAGGTTAAAATGAATTTGAAATACTAACATCTCTAATGTAAACAGTGTTTACAGTGCGAGGCACCTCTTTCGAACAGTGCGTCGTTTCTATTGTTCTCAGCTTTTCGTGTTGCATTCAAACATGGGTTACCTCTAACAGGGGCAAATTTATTACTGCTGGCACACAGACAGTCCTCTTTTAACTGTGGTACTTTATCAGTAAGAAAAAAGTGAGAGTGATATATGGGTTTGATAACACAGGCGGCCTGCTTTGGTGACCGATCCTGTTTTCCTAATAGATACCCGATGTGCTGATGTGTGTGTATTAACAGCCCGAGAAACGCGCAAAAGAGAATTTTTTTGTTTGGTTTTGTGGAGCAACGATGTAAAGCAAGACTTTAGCTTAAATCAGGGTTCTCATTAAGAAATGAAGACAACCAGGAGAACACTTTGTGTCAATAAATAATTTCATTTACTCATAAATAACCGATGGCACAGTGCTTTCAGTCTTAGTTTTCGTTTCCTCAGGTGTACTTGTTATGCTGCACAAATCTCTGTACTTTAATTAAACATCAGATATTATTCCGATGTCTCATTACGTCACGGATGCAGCTTACTAACAAGTTTGAAAGAAGATGAAAGACATTGCAGGCCATTGTTTTGGTTTAAAAACCATTCCCGTCTTGCGAAATCCTTCAGATAAACTGCTTCTGTTCATCAGAAATGGCTCACATTTGAAGGCCACAGAACAAACTGCCCATTGTTGGTCCACACTTTATTCCCTTTATGTACAGGCTTCATTATTGCTGCCTCATAAACTGTCTGTTATTCAATAACCATCAACTGTGAGGGGGGCAGCAGCCGTAGAGGGAGCTCAACTTGTTTATCAGGAAAAAACTCCCAAAATGAGAAGCAATCAGAAGAAAGGGAATCTGTATTATTCCACTAAATGTTTGTGCCTCACACTTTGTTTTCTTCATAAAAAAAATTCATGCATTAACAATTTAATATTTCCCTGTAAAAGACGTGTATTGTGCAGGACTGAACTTGAGGCAGGTCTGCAGTCAGGTATGATGTTTGTTATCTTTGCCAACATTTGCTCCAAAACTCCAAAACCCTCACTTACAGATCGAGGCCAGAGCAGACCTGTCAGAGAGTACAATCAATCAATCAATATTATATTTCTATAGCACATTTAAAAAGGTCAGTGTCCATCAAAGTGCTTCCTACAAGGTAGCCAAGCAGATTACAACAAAAGGCAACAAAAACAGTTAAAACAATTATAGTTACAGTGACAGTTACAGTTACATAGCACAAATGCAGACCAGGTGGAAGTCCAAACTAATTTGCTTCAAAAGCTAGATGGAACAGGCGAGTTTTTAAGCGTGATTTAAACGTTCAACACAGTCCACTGGATGGTTTTGCAAAGCAGGAAAATAATGATGTCTTATATAAAATGTTTTGCTATACATGATGCCTTGCTGCAAGCATTGCTACACACAAGTGAAAAGGTGTGGAAAGCATTCAAACACCTCAGAAACTTGTTTGATAAAGAAGTAAAATCTCTTTTTGTTGTTATTTTTGCTTTTATCTGTTGATTGCAATGTACATTCATTGCCTACTTCATTAGGTATACTTGTTCAGCTGCTCGTTAACACCAATATCTAATCAGCCAATCACATGACACCAACCACATGGAGCAGGTTGTCTTTACCCTGCTTGGTCAAGATGACCTGCTAAAGTTCAAATCAAGCGTTAGAAGGAGGAAGTGAATTTGCTCTGAGTATCTCAGCGCTCATATGGTGGGGTCAAAATTTGGCATAAACTGCACAAATGAATCATGAATCCATCCTGAGTTGGATCAACAGTTGAAGCTGGTGGTGATTTGATGTTTTCTCAGCACACTTTGAGCATTTTTAAATGCCATAGCGTACCAGGTACTCCTGCTGCTCATGTCCATCCCTTTATAATCACAGTGCACCAATCTCCTGATGGCTCTTTCCAACATAATAAAGCTCCATTTCAGAAACCTCACATCATCTCAAACTGCTTAAGAGCATGACAATGAGTTCAGGAATAATTGCAGCATCTTGTCAAATCTGTGCTATAAATAATTAAATTGGTATTAACTAAAAGTGGGTCCAAAGCAGTATTAGTATAGTGTACCTAATAAAGTGGCTGGTCAGTATATTTTATGGCAGTAGACTGACTGATACAGATCTATCACATGTTTGTGGGCTCTTTTTATGCAGTGGATTTACTGGTCTGGCCAAAAACTGCAGGTTGTTTGTAAAGTATTGTGTTAGTTTGTGTTTTATAAATAATGTGTTTACTGCATTTGTATTTTATAGCTGAAACTGTAAGAATATGGATTAGAATATTCAATCACTGGTAATGATATCCAGTAATTTGAGATCTAATTAAATAATTGACACACAGGTGACAGAGAGAATCTGACATATGTTTACTTAGCAGGTAGGTTTTCATGTTGTGGTACATGAATTAAACACTTATGGTGACACACAAGTTCATATAAGATACAAGAAAACACGTAAAAACAAACAGTGATTATGCCAACTGTCTAACGTCATATAAAGCAATGCACATCACTGGACAGCATTAATTAACAGCTAGAGTAGTGCAGATCCAGCCTGGTAATCCCCATAAATAAATAGAGCAAAGTCAATACATGATGGTATAGAATTTAAAAAAGTAGAAGGTTTTAATCTTGATTTAAATTGCAGGGGGCGAAAAGTAATTGTTGATTAAGTAGTTTTGAGATATTCACAGGGTTTAAACATAGCTGCCTTTCTTCACGTTTTGCTACAAGTGTTCCTCTTGGTTTCTTCTTAGCTGGATGAGCTCGGACAGTCCGGGATCAAGCACACAAAATGCCCCTCGCAGTTACTCTGCAAAGAGAAAAAAAGACCGTGTTGGATTCAGAGCGCAATGAAGAAGAAAAAAGAAAAAACAGGGAAAAGTTTGGTTTTTATTATTATTGTTTTTCCTTACCTGGAGGTTGTTGTGGCATATGGGACTGTGAGGTGCAGTCAGGTGATTGTGCACACACTTCCCAAAGTGTTGCAGACAGGTGGAATCGGACGGGGCGCAGGTCTGAGAGCACGATGGACGCTTCAGCAGCAGACAGCTGGAGCAGGACGTGTGCTGGCAGGAGCCCTGGCACTCTTTATTCTGCAGAGATGTAGACCTACAGACGAGGAAATTCTGATTATTGCTAAAAACAACAAAAACAACGTGGCATTAAGAGGATGGAGAGGGGGCTCACCTGGCAGAGCAGATTGCAGAGGGGTTGGCCTGGCAGTACTCCTTGGTGCACTCTGGTTGGCAGCTCTCTGCATCCAGCTGTTCAATCACTGCACAGATTTAAAGAAATTACGAATGAGAGTCCCGCATTGTGGAGTCAGACTTTAAAAAAAGACAGGAAAACTGTAAAAGGTCTGATATCGTATTGATAATGGTGACACTTCTTTTCATCGGGGACAGATAAGATGAGTAATTATGGCTGAGGAACCTTTGATTCAAAGGAAGCCTTGACCACACTATCAGTCTTCACAGCTTATAAACCAGATTTTACCGCACCAGCACCATTCCCACTACACAGACTTACAGTCAAAGAATCTCACCAAGTGCATTTTACGCGTTTAGAGAAGATTTTAGCGCCTTTGTAGTTCCCGCCAACTTTATTTCCAGAAGGAAGAGTTAAATATTGCATTCTTGCTTACAGAGCCTTCTTTTAATTAGCATGATGGTTTCTGTACATGTGAATAAATCAGAACAACTCGATAACTTTTTTTGTGCTGCTGTAAAACTTTTCATTTCCCCACTATTGCATTTCACGAGTGATTAAAGCATCACCCGTGGATCTGATGCGCAGTGGCTGCTTGTCATCATTTTAGAGTAATGGTTACAATCTCACCTGCTTTGCAGATCCCTTTGCGTTCTGCGTCTGGTTTGGCAGCTGCCGAGTCCTGAAAAACGCACACCAGCCCCTCGTCGCACTTCCCCAGGTAGTCCCACGTCCCCCCGCAGGTCTCCCCCTCCGTCTTGGCGCACACGGGGCAGCATCCGCAGACACCCGTCGTCACGCCCCCTTTACACTGGAGCTTCAGCGCCCGCCGGGAAGAGCAGTGTATCCGCTCGCAGGGCGGGCACTGAAGGGCCCGAAGCTGCTGGGTGTCCACGGGGGACGCTTTCTCCAACCCGAACACCCCCAACAGCGCACTGAGAAATAGCAGCATCCGCATCGTTGGTAGACCTGACGTTATCCTGAGGGGAGAGCGCCTGTCTGCACCTTTTATATCCCCGGGCACCCCGGCATTGTCACACCACATGCTTCGTAGTTTATGAGCCACAACCTCCTCCCACCACCACCAGCCAATAGATGGATGGATTTAGTCTAAAATATACGGTTAATTATCCCCACGTCTTATCTCCACGCTATCAACAGTGCGATTTTGTTTTGAAACAAGTCTTCCGTCCGAACATTGTTAGATAAACTCGGATGAAGGTGAATTCGGAGTCACATGACCTCTGAAAGGGGCAATTCGGTGTGCACCTGTAATCAGATAATGTCCCATTTCCCAAAAGAACAAAAGGTTTAACAAATCAGCAGGTTATCTCATCCGGACGCCTCACAAGGTTCTTAGCTGAATGAAAAATCTCGCAGGTTGTGTGCATGCCAGTAAAATATGGCCGCACTCACTGGGTGTCTGTCAGTTGACATTGCAGCTGCTGTATGTCATTTCTTTCCTTTTGAAGAGGGAAACATCTGCTTAAAAGTAGGACAAACTGCTGCAGAAACATACTTAGTCCTCGGCAAGTCACAAAAAGGTAAATTGTTTTGTGTTATTGTAGTTTATGCTGCAGTTAACATATTAAAATTAGCCGCTTTGGATATTAAACCCGTTTTGCATTACTTTTTATTCAATTTTTGAATGAAAAAAAAAGGCCCACAATAACCCCAGCCACAAGAGATATTTAATGACTTTACTTTGAGGAAATGTTCTGTGTAAAATCCTGGAGGACAGAAAAGGATTTCTTTAGCTTTGGCTCTTAATATGCTCTATGTTCATTTGGATCCATACGAACTGTTAGTATGATGGTCCACAAACGAGAAACATAGCGAATTGGAAACACGTCCAGGTTTACTGAGTGCAGAGAAACAATTTAATAAAGGAAGATAAAACTACAATTAAAAAAAATATGAAGAGGCTAGACATAATGCACACAAGGTGCATTACAAAAGGAAGGTAAAGACCCTACAGTAATGCAGATAAAACCCCAGCAATCAGATGACCCCCCTATGAGCAAGCATTTGGAGACAGTGGGAAGGAAAAAAAAAAAAATCCCTTCTAACAATAAGAAACCTCTGGCAGAACCAGGATCGGGGAGGGGTGGCCATCTGAGAGACCAGTTGGGGACGAGGGGAGGAAGACAGGACAAAAGTGAAAGAGAGCCACAGGTTTATTATTTTTTAATAATACTAATAATTTTATTCTTCCTCTTTAAATAATACGCCAGCTAGCTAACGTTAGCTGCTATTCTCTCACTTAATTTTAATTATTCAATTAAATCTTTTTACACATTAGTCCTCATGTCCTACTGCTTAGTCGTTGACATAGCCAAAGGAGAGAAGCCCATATAGGATAAATATGCCCCGTCTAGTCCCCATAACCTTCAAAAACATTGAAGGTTATGTCATCTGATGAGGTCTAGGAAACAAAATAAAGTTTAAATTAAAAAAAGAAAAACGTTTTAAGTATCAAAATGATGCTTTGTACCCCAATGAGTGGTATAAGACTTTCAAAGAGGTTTTGGCCCCTATTTTGATAGATTCTTTTAATTGGACAATAAAACACGCTAAAATTCCACCTTCCTGGAAAGAGGCCATCATCTCAGTCTTACCGAAAGAAGGTAAAAACAAGGAAAACTGTGATTCTTATCGCCCAATCTCCATCTTAAATGTTGATTATAAACTATTTACATCTATAATCACAAGACGCCTAGAGCTGTTCCTTCCTGACCTGGTGGATGAAGACCAGACAGGGTTCATTAAGGGGCGACAGACACAAGACAATATACGACGCACATTGCATATAATTAATGAAGTTAATAGAGAAAAAATCCCAACAGCCTTAGTGAGTTTAGATGCTGAAAAGGCTTTTGACAGAGTCTCTTGGATATTTCTTTTTGCTGTTTTGAAGAGAATGGGCTTTGACAGTATCTTCATCAAGTGTATACAATCCCTGTATCATAGGCCAATGGCTAGAGTTAAAATAAATGGGGACTTGACAGACAGCTTTGAGCTCTTTAGAGGAACTAGGCAAGGTTGCTGCTTGAGTCCAGCTCTTTTTGCTTTGTATATTGAGCCTTTGGCTCAGTATATACGGCAAAGTACAGACTTAAAAGGGGTTTTTGTTTCCAAACTTGAACAACGAATAGGTCTTTTTGCAGATGATATAATTATATATCTACAGGATCCTGATACGACCTTTCCTTGGCTGTTTAAAGCATTAAAATATTTTGGTAAAAACGCAGGATATAAACTAAACATCGTAAAGACTCAAGTACTCTGTCTGAATTATTTCCCCAAAGAATTATTACAAAATGAACTTAAACTAAAATGGGATTCAAATAAGATCAAATACTTAGGTGTCTATTTAACTAGTGATACAAGTACTTTATACGAGGCAAACTATGTGAAGTTTAGTAACACAATCCAAAAAGATCTGATTAAATGGGCTCCGCTTGTCAAGGACCTTAGCTCAAGAATAGAGGTAATAAAAATGAATGTGCTTCCCCGGTTATTGTACCTATTCACCTCATTACCAGTCCAAATAACAGATGCACAGTTTGGTAAATGGGATAAATTAGTTAGTAGATTTATTTGGAAAGGGACAAAGCCAAGAATAAGATTTAAAATACTCCAATCAGGAAAAGAAAAAGGAGGACTTGCCCTCCCGAATTTCAAGGAATATTTCTATGCAGCCCAGCTGAGATATACTGTTTACTGGTGTTCATCAGAATATACTTCAAAATGGAAGCATATAGAGTTAAATTATTGCCTATCATGTCATCCACAAGCAAGATTGGGAGAAGAAACTACCCAGCCCACGAACAAAAATCTCATCACTGAATTTACTATTAAACTCTGGTGGACAATAATGAAGAAATATAGAATTACAGAAGATTGTAAATTGCTGATTTGGCCTGCATACTCTCGAAAATTCCAAAGTGGACAATGGGATAGCACATTTTTAAGATGGGTCAATAAAGGAATTACAGCAATGTGTACATTAATAGATGGGACAACATTTAAATCTTTTGAGAATCTACAGAAACAATTCGGATTGGATAAATCAGATTTATTTAGGTACTTTCAATTAAGACACTTTTACAATACAGAAATTAGAAAGAAGCTCTCGAGAGAAAGAAATCGTATAATAGGAACAATAACAGGTGCATATAAAAATCTTCCATCAGGAATTCTGTCGAAATTATATGATGGCCTACAAAATTCGAATAGGAATGAAACATTATATATTAAACAAAAGTGGGAATCGGAACTACAAATTGAGTTGTCAGAGGATGATTGGCGATCCTTATGTCTCACACAGCATAACTCCACTAGCTCTAGACGATGGAGAGAATATGGCTGGAAAAATGTGATTAGGTTTTTTATTACTCCGTATATCAAAAGCAAGCAGTTGAAAACACCCCAACAATGCTGGAGATTATGTGGAGACTGGAACGCCAATCACTCACATGTGTTTTGGAAGTGTAAATATATTAAATCATATTGGGAAAGAATCGCGGCAACAATGACGAAGGTGCTGGGGTATGAAGTACTGTGTGAGGCACGAGTAATGTATTTTGGAATATGGGAAAATGTAAAAAAGGAGGACTGGTATTTGTTTAAGATTATGTTGTTGTCAAGCAAAAAGGTGATAACAAAGAATTGGCTGAAAAGCGATCCTTTAAAACTGGAAGACTGGATGGACGTAATCGAGGACATATATACAATGGAAAAAATGACTTACACTCTGAGACTGAAATCTGATAAACACCGAAAACAGTGGACAAAATGGATAATTTATAAGTCTCAGTCAGCCTTATAGGGCGGGACCTCTCGTGTTTTTTTTTTGTTTTTTTTTTTGTGTGTTTGTTGTTGTGTTATTATTATTATTGTCTTGTCCGTATGTAATACAAAGGAAAAAGTACAAAATAAAGAGTTAAAAAAAAAAAAAAAAATGCTTTGATCAGAAAAAGCAAACCAAAGAACTCCTGCTCCTCTTTCCTGTTGCACTGATCCCAGAGGAGCATCTCCACATTCACTCGTCCACCTCTGTATCAATTTGCATAATCCTGCAAGCTGTCTTCACTTTAAAAATAAATCTTTAAAAAAAAAGTGTTGCTGAACAAACTAAAATCTCAGTTACTGCTAGGAAGCCTTGTGTCGTATAAAAATGTATTTATTTTCAAGGAAACCATTGAGTAACACTGAATACACCAGGAGTGATCATTCAATAAGTCAATAAAACTCGTGACTCCTACATCAAAGATCCCACATACAAGACGTCTTGGAAAAGAAGATTCAAAGCAAACATGTTGGCAATTTGCTGGTGCTACAATTTCATTTTTCCCCCCACATAACAAATTTAGGCGATACACATCTGTGTAGAAAAGTGACAAGAGTTTACATCAACTTACAAAGGGCTGGATGTCAAAGTGCAAGATGCCTGAACCCCACCCTCCCACCCACCCCTCCTGTCAAAGAGGACGATCAAAATGTCGCAACCAGAAGCGGACTCTTAAATAAAAATCTCCAAAATTAAGATTCTGCCATTATGGGTTGGTATTCATTTGAGACCCTAGTCTATCTTACATTTCATAGCTTTAAAATATTATTTCAGAAAAATTTTTACTCCCAAAGACACTCATTTCTTTTCTTCTTCTTCTTTTTTTTTTTTTAAACTGCACCTTATAAGAGACGACTGCATGTAATGGAGTAAAGCATCACAGGAATTATGCAGGCATACAACAGAAAAGCAGCTGCTTATCAACAAGTTCAAACAAAACAACATTTTATCAGTTAAAAAAGAAAAAAGCAACCGAGTCAGAGTACATACTAAAATCTGAAGTGAAACTAAAAGGACTTAAAAACCTCAGAGAAAAACAAACAAACAAAAAAACAAAACAATTATGTACATATATTTACAGGCAAATAGAGTGAATATTTTACAGGTTTGACTGGCCACTGGAGGTCAGGAGGAAACCAACAATG